ATCATTTCCAAAGTAAAGGATCTATCTGTTACAATCATTCTAAATTTTATAATTATTCCTTAACCTTCTGAATTTCTAAAATAGACTAGTTGTCCTATTTAGACCTCAAGCTTGTATTTGTTCGAGAAATAGCCTTTTAATTGATCACTTTTTCGGCGCCATCCCATATCTAATATATAAATCAAGAGGGTGTCAGAGAGGGGATGTGCCCCATTTTGCTTAGGGTTTGAAGGGGGTCAGCAGACCCCCCTCCTCATCTCCGAGAAAATTGTGGACTCGGGGAAAGGCTAAAACTGGACCCAGGTCGACCTTATTTATAACATTAAATGTAACCAACGCTAAAACGCCTTTAACTCTTGAATGTGCAGCACTTTGTAATCAGTTTTGATGCAAAATAGTAATTTTTGGCAATTTTGAGATATCCCATCGTTGCCATGGTAACAGGAAATGTAAGATTGAATATGCGGTTACTGGTTACAAATGCTATTGTCCATTAAACATGTTTACGTACACTGTTGATATGTGTTAAATGACATAAGCATTAAATGTTACAACTTTTTTATGTAAATCGACAATATTATTGTGGAAATAAACTAATTTTACTATTGATGTGAAGTTTATAAAATATAATATACTATATACCAGCTTAATACCATTTAAATGAAACACATCTACGCAAAATAACAATGTATCACTTTAAGATAATATCCTTATTTTTCAAAGCGCAAAATCTGTTGAGATTGTTCTAATTATGCAGATTTCGGGTAGACAAAATTTAATATAATAATACGTCACAATAATACCTTTTGTTGCATTATCACTCCAACAGAAGATATCAATATTCTTTATATAATACGAGTATGAGGCGATTACAAATAAGGCGTCATTACGTCTGGGTGAAACGGTCATATTTCGAAGAAAACGATTTATTCAGCTGTGTTATTTTGTATAATGCCAGTATCAAGTTCTAAAAGTTAGAACTTTGTAAACATATATATAAGACAATCGGGTGGTCTTAATTGTGAATATTCTTATCATTGCTTTTGACCATGGACTATTTTGGTCATTTGGTATGAACAAACAATATATATCTTAACCTACATACTAAATGCAATATTAAAATATGCTATAATTTAACATCTGATGGGAAAAAAGAAATTTAATAGCGACTTCTATTTGGTCTGATTTGATTATTAATGATTAAATGATGGACATAATTCACCCATTAAATTAAACATTATTTCTTCGCATAATCAATTTTTTAAAGCAACATTCAACCACTCTAAAATTTACTTTCTCACCTTTTTTCATACAATATATAAATGATGTAAGTTGTTTTTGATCAGCTATCAGGAGCATTCAAGCAGATAATAAAACCATAACAACAAATTTAAGATATATGTAGGTATTGACTTGAAATCAGTGGTCCCTATAGTTGGGTCAAATAAAGAACAAAACAAATATTTTGTACTGAATCTGGTGGTCTTAAAAGTCGATAAGCGAAGTGGTCTTAATTCTGGATATTAATGTAACCTTGACATAAAGATCTGAAAATTCCGTTTAAAAATGGTCGTCTGAATTCTGTTCGACACATATTGAACAATTTTGGTTCATTTGCATATATATTTTTTTCTTCCATTGCTATCACAACTGTGTTGTCTTATACTTAAACTGTTGAATACGAATATGTTGAATTTTCTTAAATTGCATTTTGTGAATGGAATTCTCTGGTAACTAAAATGCAATTTGTTGAAAAAAAAAACAAAAACAAAAAACAACAAAAAAACTAAAACAAAAATAAAAGGAATGTAAAAAGTGCTTTTAATGCAAGTAAGAGATTTGTCAGGTGGGAAAATATTTAGGCGATAATTAATGTGCTTTTAAATTAGAATTATCGACATCCGTATTTGTCAATATTGATATAAACTGACACTTCAAACGGGATGTTTTGTGTTCACGCTTAGCGATTTTAAGAGAATTGACACTTCCATGCATCAATGTGTATAACATACAACCAACGTTATAAAATTCCTCCGGATATGACGCTGAAAATTTAAGTGTAGTTTAAAATTATTTCTTCACTAGTATTACATTAAATAATATTTTCCCACATGAACAAGTATTATGACCGGATAAGTTTATCTATGTTTAACGATATAACAAATATGTTTAATTCAAGTGTGTTTGGTTAAATATATAACCTTGCATGCGATTATCACGGCTTTTCTGTCGCACGCGTTTATACATTTTTTCCGAGATCTTGTTTGACATCAAAACATTTTAAAAGTTTTCATAAAATTGAGCAAAATTGATTTCGGAGAAAATAATATTATACTATGCATAATTCTGTTTGATTACATATAATTTCGTACGCATGATTATCAAGGTACTTTATTTGTTACTTCGGCGCGATATAATCACACACGTGTACATACAAATTATACATTTTTGGTAATACAAGTAGTTCTATCTGATTGCACTTTTATTGAAAACTTTTATTTAATGTTATAACTTACCTTGAAACGCTTCTATTTTTTTTTAGATATTATTATTCTAATTTTAGGAGAAATGACATCCCTGACAAAACATAACAAACACGCATAGCTATTATTTAGATTTAAAATCACAACTATCCTGGAGTTAAAATGAGACCGTACGCGTGATTCTAACGGCACTACTCCTAACTGTGTGATTATTACCCCTAATGCGTAAAAATCACACGCGTGGTAATATTACCACAAGTGTGATAATTACGCGACACCGGATTTCCACATAAGGTTGCTATATACCAAATTTAATTACAGTTTCTCATTCCAAACTCTAGTTTTCGTCTGGAAATCATGAAGAAGACCGACAAGCTGACTCCTCGTATATACCTTCCCTAAACGTCGTTTGTGGGGGTAAAATAAATAATTGTTGTTTCATATTTACTCTGGAAGGTGAAGTTACGCATCCTTGTTTAGATTAGAAAGTTGTGAAGGTGAACGTCTAGACATGACTGAATAAGCGTACATGTGTTGCCCCTATATCCTTCATACTTACAAAAAAGGACGATATAAAAAAGAAGAAAAAAAAAGAACAATAAAAAAACACCAATATGTATACGAGTTATTGGTGCAGAATTACATCAAATTGTACAAAAATCTCGAAAAAATATTGCATGTCCCGTTATGTCAAAAGTACCTTTAAGTAAGTGAAGTCCCTTTAACGTTTACTTTGTTTTACTTTGTTAGGACTAATAGTAAAAAAAATCCAAGCAGTTTTGCTTTAAGTATGTATTAAGTACGTATGTATTATTTGTACGGTGATTCGACAATAAAATTAGATATGAAAAAAGTGCAACCCATGTTTGACTTCAAATAATACCAAACACAATTCTGCCATTTACTTCAAAACTCTTTCTACCATTTACTACAATTGGAATTTTGATTTTCCGTATGTAAATATAAATTTATAATAACAGTGTCGTAAGGATAATATTTATCATGGAAGTATATATATGTATATTAAGATGGGTAAAATTGGAATGGGAAAAATTAGTAATTGTACAACGATAAAACGGTAAATTCATTGGTATTCAAATGCTATTTTATTACATTTTTAGTGGTGACGTTGTGATCAAGTGATAACAGTAGTATGTAGTTTGTGGTATGGTAATCAATGTGTAAATCAATGGTTTGCACTTGTAAATATTCTTAGTATTATAGACAGTCTTTGGTGTTAACGTTGACAATAGAAGGTTTAATTACAGACAATATTAAGATAAAGACAGTAGGGATAACAAAATATTTAACGGCAGTCATTGGCATGTGCTCTTTCACTAACAAAGTTAACAAATCCTTGTTATATTCACTAATCTGACACATAGAACAAAGAAGAGTCAGGGATCTGTGCAATTGATTCAGCTTTTTTTAAATGACAATGTTAAACTTTACTGACATTTTGCAATGAATCAAGTCTAAACATTATTGTGTGGTTTCTTAATTTGCATTGGTGAATAACACCCCATTAAAAAAAGGAACATAAAATAAAAATTCACACGCGCGCGCGCACACACACGCGCACACACGCACGCACACGCACACATGCGCGCACGCATCGCATACATAATTACCTGATTTCTATTTTACATCTGTTGCTTTCTTGCAATTAGAACAGTTATAGTGAGTTGGATTTTATGGAAGTCAAATACTTTTTTACAATTGGCTACTTTTATTACATAACATTTCACGTTAAATGCTTATTTTATCAGGTAACATGCATCTCCCGTGCTCTAGGTTAAGATTTATTCATATCTAGGGCATAATATGTCTGTAATGTAATCCCTTATGCTTTGCAATGAACTGTTTACTTTTGATACTTGACACGTTCATATGTTTCTAAATTCCAATTCTGGATTCTTCTTTGTACAAATTGCTGAAAAAGACTGATGAAGGTAATAATTAGGTATTCAATTATGTATTATTTATAAGTTCCAAGTCAAAAAATTTAAGAATATTAAAAAATAACTGAACTCATTGATTTAAGGCACATTATGCCTCAAAAACCTATTATTTCTTGTTTATACACTAGTTTCATATTGTTTAAGTAATGATTATGTTAGATGCTTATCGACTTAAGAAAATAGCATTTAATGTGATTTTATATGTCACAAAAGTAGCAATATGTAAATAAAGTATTTTCTTTACTCCCATACAAAATATAAATTCACTATTATAAATTCATTAACAGCCAAAAAGCAATAGAAGCAAAGGATAAATTAAATCTGATGAGCCTCTTTTTGTGTTTATTTGTTGGGTCCTAATAACTGTGTAAAATTTTACCTTTAAGTATCTATGTACATGTATGCATGTATGTATCGACATATTTAGAAATCTTGATTTCATACTTGGTATTATAATTATGACAGGCCGCATGATTACATTTTTCCTCGTTTAGGTTTACAAATATGCGTATAGGATTGACAAAATTAATGTAAACTTAATTTTTTTTCAGGCGGGTTTTATTTCCTAGAAAACATGTCAAATATATATACTCATATCTTGCAATGTTCATTTCGTTACATTGAAACATTTTTGGGATGCGCAATTACTTTCAGCTGAAAAAGAGGTAAGTTTCTTTTAGGTTTTGCATACTTTGCCTATTAATAGGAAAGAAAGATTATATTTGAACTATTTTTTCTATCTTCGGTCGCTCTACACTGCATGATTGTTTTATACTTTTACTGCTGTCGTAAGTAATTTCGTGTCTGAATAAGTTACTACAATTGCACTTATCATGTATTGTTTTGGTTTCATTATTCTTCTTTAATTAAAGTTGTCCAATGTACAACAAGGTGAGGATAAAAATTACAGGAACTGTTTAAGTCATTATATCGAATATTTTGAAACTAACTCATTTATATTTGTTAAGGAATTGATAAATTATCAAATTTAAGTTATTACATCAAGATAATTCCAAGACGAAACTTCTTTTTCAGAGTAAAGAACTGATACCTATACATTTATTGAACATTCTGAAACAATGGCCGTTAAAACGAACGCAAAACAATTTCTCGAATCACTCGTGGCGGGTGATATGATAACATTTCACAGTCAAACAGCCACACATTGGGGAATTTATGTCGGTACGTGCACAACTGCTTTATACTGCATTTGAATGACAAACAATTGTACAGCACAATATATTAATCAAAGGGCTGCAAGCTCTGTGGTATTTTCTGATCTTTGCAATCTAAATCACACTGACTATCTGTATGTATTTTCCTGTATAAGTTTATTTTTCAATACTATAATTCATCTTACGCAGCGACTGCATTTAGATTTTTTTGAGTTTGAGATTGATACATATGGAAATTTGCATGACTAGAGTTGCATCAAAAAATCATTTTTCATTTTTTATGACAGTCACACTTTATCCTTGCATATCGTGGCTACGTCCTTAAAAAAACACTTCAAAAAAAAAAAAGTTTCATCGACTAGGATTTGAACCTTATAATAAGTTAAATCATTAATTACATTTATCCTGCATGATTTATACATATCATTCAATTTATTTATAATGAAGTAATTATTTACTTGAGTTGCAATATGACATTATAGAAGATTTGGCAATTTCATCCATCTCTTTTGATTGTTCTACAAAACGCACTTGGGTCACAAGTATTTAAAATACTGATTTAAGAATAAAAAAGCGTTTTTACGATATTCTTATAAATTCTGCTTCAAGAACAAATGTTCATAAAGTTATTTAGTAGAGAAAATTAATAATTTGCTCGAGAAAAAATTATTATCTGCTACTTGTATATAAATGTAACTATGTAATATAAGATCACGTAACTCATACTTGCCAACAACATCCTAATAGAACTAGGACTAGGATTTGAACCTTAGGCCTCTCACACCTTAAACGAGCGCGCTCCCTCTGCACCACGGTGAAGTAATACGTATCTATCTTGAATAAAAACAAATACATTGTAATTACACCGATAAACACTTTCCCCAACTAGCAGACGACAGGCTATTCTTATCAAGTAAAGATAACCGCTTGCGTATCTCACTGTATAAATAGTATGTAAAATGGGCTGACATATGGTAGGTTTAACAGTTAATTTAAATACTTTGGTGTCAAAAGATATGTAAAATTATATACTGTGACAAAGCTAAGATCCTAAGCTTTCCATTGATGTAATAATTTTTAAAATCGGACATTTAATCACAACAAACTAGCGGTTTAAAAATGGCTTAATTTGTATTGTTTTAGCGTAAGAGATACCAATTTTACTCGAAGATAAGGGAAACAACTTGTCTTTTTTCACTTGATATACCTCGGTTATTTATGTAGTTCATATGAAAAGTGTTTATGGGTATCCTTTTCGTGTTTGTAATCCTTATTAATTTCGAGGTATTTTGTTCACGATAAACCTGTTGTTTGATAATACAAATGAAAATAATTTAGCGAAAATCTTCTCGCCAAAACAGTCCGACATGTATATATTCCACTACTCGACAGTCAGATTTATTTGTGTACTACTCTCTGGAGTATTCGGTAAACGACATGGCTAAAAATAGCATTTTCATTGATGAAAAGATATTCATCCGCGTAATTTGTCATTGTGCATTCATGATAATCCGAAGCTTTAAGGAAATAGCCGAACATTTTTCATTGGGTAAAAAGATATTCATCCGCGAAATTTGTGATTGTAACCTCATATTTCTATTGACTAATCTTAACAATTACTTTTAATGCACTGTAATTTGTTAAATGCCTACATTAAAAATTATTCTTTCTTTTAAATTGCTGGTTTTTAAGCAGTTTTGAGTGAGAACTACTTTGCGTTGTTAGGTCTGTGAGGAAATTTTGTGTTAGTCCGTGGATGTTAGCTTTGTATTTACTGATCTTGCGATCAGAAAATACAAAAATGAATATGAATGGCAGATGCTTGAGGTATAACATACGATAATCATATATTGCACACTTCCATACTTTTTTATAGTCAATGAACAATAAGTTAAATCATTAATTACATTTATCCTGCATGATTTATACATATCATTCAATTTATTTATAATGAAGTAATTATTTACTTGAGTTGCAATATGACATTATAGAAGATTTGGCAATTTCATCCATCTCTTTTGATTGTTCTACAAAACGCACTTGGGTCACAAGTATTTAAAATACTGATTTAAGAAAAAAAAAGCGTTTTTACGATATTCTTATAAATTTTGCTTCAAGAACAAATGTTCATAAAGTTATTTAGTAGAGAAAATTAATAATTTGCTCGAGAAAAAATTATTATCTGCTACTTGTATATAAATGTAACTATGTAATATAAGATCACGTAACTCATACTTGCCAACAACATCCTAATAGAATCAAATTATTTTATGGTTTGTCGTTATGTATGGTACATAAAACAACCAATGTACTTTTTTGAATTACAATCTTTCATTATAGGCTTATTTCACTTCAAACTTATATTTCTTTATACGGAGTAATTGATTCTGTTATAGGAGACAAGAAGGTCGTACACCTTACTGGGGAGGTCATAACAAATTCAAGTGATCAAAGCGAAGCTTTGTTCACTGTCGCCGGTAAACAATATACAAAAGCAGCTGTTAAGGAGGACGATTTCCTTGATGTTGCCGAAGCATTCGATAAATACGAGAGAAATTGCAAGGACACACCTAAGATGACGTAAGACACTTCGAATAAGTCCTTGATTAAAACACTATAGATGTGATTTTAAGATATCGAAATTTATTTTTTACTTTGATATGAATAAAAACAACATATTGTTATTTTATTTCTAATAAAACTTATATTACATGCATGCACAAGAATAAACTTTAACAAATTAAAAAAGGGTAAAACTAAAACACGTTTTTATAATGTCTGGCAATGAAAAGCTATATAGCATTAGTTTGCAATTCTATCATGGTACACAAAAATGTCATTGCTGTTAAATTTTGGGAAAAAAATATAATTGTTTTACAATTTCAAAAACTTCTTTATTGATTTCCAAGCCCGGATGACCCTGAAGATATAGTAGAATTAGCTAAGACAATGGTCGGAAACATATACTACAATGAAATGTGGAACAGTTGCAAGAAACTGGCCATCTACTGCAGATATGATTTAGTAAGTTCTTTACAAATAATAACGAACAACACGCTATTTTTTCGATACAATTATTCCAGTATAAGTTATAAATTACACACAAATCTATATTGAACATCAAAGACATTTCGCGGGAAGGTATTTGCTACGTTGCGAACTAATGTTAAATGGTTAGATAGATAAGGTGTGCGCAAGTACTTGCGGTTGCTGCACCAAAACACAAGTCAGTAAGTTAATATTATTTTTGAATCTTATCTTATAGAGTAACCTATCTGGAACTTGCGATGAAAACAATGAAAACGATGAAGACAATGAAGTCAATGAAGACAATGAAGTCGATGAAGACGATGAAGACGATGATGACGAGGTAAGTTACAATCATTTACCTTACGTGTTTTATAAAAACACGATGTAAAATGCGATGGTTGACAAACAGATTGAAAAATCTAAAAATACTTTTTCAACATTCTCAATTTTCTTTTTATTTGTTAATTGCTTTACTCGAATAGCTATAGTTTAAAGGTGATTTTGGTGTATTCGTTCCATTTCATCAGCAAAAACAATGCGTTTCGATGTATTTCATTCGTTATTTGAAACAAGTAATACATTATATTTATAAGGAATTTCAGAGTTTGGTTGAATAGATGATTAAACTTTTTATGATACATTCAAACTTTTTCTGTAGTTTAATAAGATTTACTCAATTATTCACGTTTCTTGAATCACTGTTCTCAACTTGAACTAAGAATGGTAATTAAACAATAATTTATTATACAAGACATATTTTGTATATCGCTTAATTCCATGTTTGAGGTAAAATGTAATTTGGTTCTTTTAAAGGCCGAATATACAACATAAATGTTTTTATTATTTCCGTTCTCAAAAGCTTTTTAAATTTTGTAATTTTTGTGCCACTCCCCACCACTTTAGGGGGGGGGGGCATTTAGATTTACCCTTGTCCGTCGTTCCGTCCATCCGTCTTTTCGTCCGTCATCCGTTCTCTTTTGTATCGCACGTAACTCAAAAGTATTTGACCTAGAGTAATGAAACTTTACAGAAACGTTGATCAGCATGTGCAGTTGTGCACCTTGGTAATGTCGTATGGATTAATTCAGTATTTTTTAGAGTTATTGCCCTTGACTTAGTAAAATTTTGCAATTTTCAACTTGTGTCGCATGTAACTCAAAACAGGATTAGACATAGAGTCATCAAACGTTGAATAAATGTTGATCAGCATGTGTAGTTGTGTACCTGTGTATTTTCGTGTGGATTTATTCAGTATTTTTAGAGTTATTGTCCTTGACTTAGTAAAATTTTGCAATTTTCAAATTATGTCGCATGTAACTCAAAAAGGATTAGACATAAAGTCATCAAACTTTACAGGACTATTGATCAGCATGTGTAGTTGTGTACCTGGGTATTTCGTGTGGATTTGTTTAGTATTTTTAGAGTTATTGGCCTTCACTTAGTAAATTTTTGCACTTTTCAACTTGTGTCGCATGTAACTCAAAAAAGGGTTTGACATAGAGTCTTGATACCTTACGGGAATGTTGCTCAGTATATATAGTTGTGCATCTTGAGTTTCGCCTGTGAATTTATCCAGTATTTGTAGAATTATTGCCCTTGACTGAGTAAAAACCGTTTCATTATGTTGTGTTATTTGTTCCTTGAGTGCTTAAGTTAGAATCAACCAACTTTACAGGAATAATGATCAACATCACTAAATTACAGGAATAAGGAAATGATCAACATCACTGTGAAGCTATGCACCTGGGTTTTGTTAGAGTTATTGCCCTTGACTTAAAGTAGTATAAATTTGCAATTTTCAACTTGTTCATGCATACATTAAAAAGTATTTGATTTGTAGGCCTGAAAGTTTACAAGAATGTTGGTCAGCATGTGTTCTTATGCGCCTTGGGGTTTGCTTGTGGACTTATTCAGTATTTGTAAAGGTCTTGCCCTTTACTTAGTAAAATACTTTTAGTTTTCAACTTGTGACACATGTAGTCCAAAAATATTCGACCTAGAGTCATGAAATTGACAGAACAGTGGCGTGTGGGGACACCCGTGTCCTATAGACACATTTCTAGTTTATATAGTTATCAAAAAGTCACTCATTGGCTAATTCGATATTCATTATTACTTTCTCCAGGTGGTAAATACAGTACATACTCTGAAACCATTACATAAACGTATCAAATCATTTTATAAATGTTTTCATTGTTCTTAACCTATTATCTAAACATAATAAAACAAGGGAAAGGCATAAGTGTTTTTAACTAAATTCATCTTTTAAACTAAATTTGTTAATTCAGTGCAATAGGGAGAAATTGGTGGTGAAACAGTTTTGTTTTCATGTGAAATGTTATGTCGATGAAAATAGATTATTCCATGTTAGAAGTTAATTCATATGTCTATAATTCATATTTAACAGGAAATTCTGACTTTTGTTTTATATGTCTTTTATGTAAGACAGTATTTGAAAACCCTTCCGGATTCAAAATAATCTATCTTGGTGCATCATAAAGTTTAAATGTGCTTTTTGTTTTATTCCAATAGAGAGCAGGCCAAACACCTATGACCATGATGACTGCAACTCCTTGGGTAAGATACAGTTTATCACTTTGTCATTTTAACATGTGTTTACAAAACATCATTCATTGTCTAAACTATCTTTTGCTTCGTTTGCTGTTTGCAAAATACATTTGAAGAAATATCTTATTCTTTTATATTCTACTATATTTTTATAGTTTCATAACAAACGTTCATTATTACATTCATCAAGTGATTAGTATCTAACATGCATGTCTTAGTTTTCATCTTAATACTGCTATTTCGGAGCATCATAAAGTTTAAATGTGCTTTTTATTTTGTTCCAATAGGTAACAGGCCAGAGACGTATGATGGCGGCTCCTAAGGTAAGGTACAATGTTTCACTTATTTGACATAAGTGCTTAAAGCGGCACGCCTCCAGATTCACGTAAGTTTTCATAAAAATTTTGGAAATGTATTTCAAAGTAAAAAAAATGTGAGGTGAACAAATAAAATAATTTACTTATTGCAATCGGCACTTACAATTCACGAAAATTACCAAAAGTAGTCAACATATGCAAAACCAGCCTTTACTGCGTTAGTAGCGCAGTAGAAACATGGTGATAAAATACCGCAAAATCAGTGTTAAACCGCACAAAACATGTACAATTTAACTTGGATCTTGAATGTTTTTACTTTTCTTAAAGTTTAGTGCATTTTTCTCAATATTAATTTTCTTGAAATATGTTGGCTCATCTGGGGGCGTGCAGCTTTAAAATGTATATTAAACGATACTTGATTTATTCATCTTTCAAACAAATTTATTTCCATAGGAAATGGTTCAGGATGCTTTTGCTGTTGGATCATATTTTATACTATAATACTGTTTGCCATTTTAAAGATACAATTTAGATCAATATGATATTTTTTCCAGATTAAATGATGTGATAGAATTTCTATTTGATAAAGCAATGTGTTACAATCAATAACTGTTCTTTAATCAATGAAACAGTTTTGTTTTCATGTGAAATGTTATGTCGATTAAATTATATTATGCCATTTTAGAAGTTAATTCAAATGTCCATAATTCAAAAATCTTATTAAAGCAAATTCTGACATTCTTTTGATAGGTCTTTTATGCAAGTCAATATTTCAAAACCCTTCCGGATTCAAAATTATCTATCTTGGTGCATCATAAAGTTTAAATGTGCTTTTTGTTTTATTCCAATAGAGAGCAGGCCAAACACCTATGACTGCAGCTCCTTGGGTAAGATACAGTTTATCACTTTGTCATTTTAACATGTGTTTTATGGTTTACAAAACATCATTCATTGTCTAAACTATCTTTTGCTTCGTTTGCTGTTTGCCAAATACATTTGAAGAAATATCTTATTCTTTTATATTCTACTATATTTTTTATAGTGTCATAACAAACGTTCATTATTACATTCATCAAGTGAGTAGTATCTAATATGCTTTCAAACCATTACTTAAACATTATAGAAATCATGTTAAAAATATTTGTTGTTCTCTTTTATAATTTAAACATAATATGACTCGTGTTAAAAAGAAAAAAGGCATAACGTGTTTTAACTAAGTTCATTATTTAAACTAAATTTGTTAATTGATTAACTTCAATAGGGAGAAATTGGTGGTGCGATTGAGATCAGCGGTTATTTGAAAAGAAATCGTTTGTCATTTTGCACAAACATCTGAACTCGTTCACATCAATTCGTTTTTCATTTCAATATTTAATGATGTAATAAGAATTCCATGTGTTCAAATATTTGTTTTAAAGAATAACGCCATCTTAATCAGGAAACAATAACTGTTTAGTGTCATTTGAACTTGGATTTAAATGCAATTATGTTTTATTGTTTCACTCTTTTTTAAAATAAATGCTTTATGTTTTCATTAAACGATGCATGATTTATTTTCTTCTTTAAAACAAATTGTTTTCATAGGGAATGGTTCAGGGTGCTATTTTGGTAATACACTGTTTTTATGATACAACTTAGATCATTGTGATAATATTTCCAGATTTAATTAATAATATGTAATAGAATTTCCATGTGATAAAGCAAAAGTTAAATCATTGACTGAACATTAATCAATAAAAACAGCTTTTTTTTACGTGAAATATCATTTCGATGAAATAACATTATGTCATTTAAGTAGTTTATTCAAATGCGTGTAGACATAGTTTTTTAAACAAGAAATTTGACATTTGTTTATGTCTTTTATTATGTAAGACAATATTTAAAACCCTTCCGGATGCATTTAAATATTTATCAAAAATTCACGTAACCTATTTCATGCCCATAATTTTATTACATGATCATTTATGTCTTAGTTTTCATCTTAATACTGCTATTTCGGCGCATCATAAAGTCTAAATGTGCTTTTATTTTGTTCCAATAGGTAACAGGCCAGAGATGTATGATGGCGGCTCCTAAGGTAAGGTACAATGTTTCACTTATTTGAAATAAGTGCTTAATGTGTATATTAAACGATACTTGATTTATTCATCCTTCAAACCAATTGTGGTTATAGGAAATGGTTCAGGATGCTTTTGCTATTGGATTATATTTTATACTATACTGTTTGCCATTTTAAAGATACAATTTAGATCATTATGATATTTTTTCCAGATTAAATGATGTGATAGAATTTCTATTTGATAAAGCAATGTGTTACAATCAATAGCTGTTCGTTAATCAATGAAACAGTTTTGTTTTCATTTGAAATGTTATGTCGATGAAATTATATTATGCCATTTCAGGAGTCAATTCAAATGTCTATAATTCATAAATCTTATAACAGCAAATTCTGACATTTGTTTGATAGGTCTTTTATGCAAGTCAATATTTCAAAACCCTTCCGGATTCAAAATTATCTATCTTGGTGCATCATTAAGTTTAATTGTGCTTTTTGTTTTATTCTAATAGAGAGCAGGCCAAACACCTATGACTGCAGCTCCTTGGGTAAGTTACAGTTTATCAAATTGTCATTATAACAAGTGTGTTATGGTTCATTGTCAAAACTATCTTTTGCTTCGTTTGCTGTTTGCCAAATACATTTGAAGAGATATCTTATTACTTTATATTCTATTATATTCTTTACATTTTCTTAACAAATAATTCAACATTCATAATTACTTTCAGCAGGTGATAAGTATCTTACATCCTTTCAAACCATTACTTAAACATTATAGAAATTATGTTATAAAAATACTTGTTGTTCCCTTACTTAAATTTAAAAATAATTAGACTCGTGTTAGAAAGAAAAAAGGCATAACGTGTTTTACCTAAGTTCATCATTTAAACTTAATTTGTTAATTGCTTCGAGTGGATGGTGCGATTGGGATAGGAGCTTGTTTGTTAAGGGTAAGTTTGCAAATACAACTGAACTCGTTCAAACCAACTCGTTTTTAATTTCAATATTTAAATTATGTTATAGGAATAACATGTGTTCAAATATTTGTAATAATGCATAACGCCAACCTTATCAGAAGAATCAATAACTGTTTTGTGTCATGTGTAATAGGATTTGAAAGCAGTTATATTTTTACTTGTGACTCGTTATCTAAAGTAAGTGCTTAACGTGTATATTAAATATGATACTTGATTTATTCATCCTTAAAACAAATTGTTTCACAGGGAATGGATATTGATACCGCCATGGTCGGATCGCCTTTCAAAATGGTAGTACATTGTTTGTCATTTTAAAGATAAAACTTAGATCATAATGATATTTCTTCAGATAGAATTTCCATGTAATAAAACATATGTGTTCCAATCAATAACTGATCTTTAACCAATGAAACAGTTTTGTTATCATGTGTAATGTTATGTCGATGAAAATATATTATGACATTTTAGAAGTTAATTCAATTGTCTATAATTCATAGATCATTCAACAGGAAATTCTGACTTTTGTTTCATAGGTCTTTAATGTAAGACAATATTTTAAAACCCTTCCGAATTCAAAATAAAATTAATGTTACTGATTTCATGTTCATAATTATATAACCTGTTGTGTCTTTTTCATTTATGTGCTTCACCTGAATCATAATACTGCTATCTTGTTGCATAATAAAGTTTAAATGTTTTTCATGCTTTTTGTTTTTCTCCAAAAGGGAGCAGGCCAAGTTCCCATGGATGCGGCCCCTTTGGTAAGGTTTATCTCTTTTTCATTATTACGGATAGAACTAAACAAGGTCCGAGTTTGGATATTCTCTTATAGGAAAATGTTGTTTCTTTTTGCTGTTTTTAATGTGAAAATAAAACTCTATATACTTGCGTGCTAGCCCTAAAGCTGTATACTGTTACATTACATTGATGGACAAAATTAAAATATTGATTTGCTAGAAGAAAAGAAAGGTTAAGTCTTTGCAACCAGTATAGCGCCAGGTCAACGTGCACATATTGATGTCCCCGAGATTTATTTATTGAATACTTCAAAAACTGCCCCTTTTTTAAAAAGTGATCTTTCTTTTAATTCTGAAGAGTACATTTCCTAACCTATTCTTAATAATAATAAAAGGGAAAAACAGTGAGACTTACCGATTTTGTGACGAAATAAATGTTATTTAAAACGGTAATAAAGGACCGACAAAAAAAAAAAAAATAAACAAAGCTTCGATGGTTTCATTTCTTTCATTTTGTACATGTAAAAAAACGGAATAACAATTTTTGAAATAGGAAAACGATTGCCTTTAACGTTTTTAGAAAACTAGCATATTACGTTTTTTGAAAAAATTACTGTGAACATTTCATAATTTTTTTTAAAATATCCCTGACGCAAAATTGTCAAAGGACGAGATTTCATCAAAAGACACAACAAGAGTCATCAAAGAGCTTGAAAAGGGGGATCTTGTTACGTTTAAACGAAAATGGTATTATCACTGGGCTGTTTATATAGGTTCGTGGAGAAATTTTGGTATTCACAAATTTTATTTACAAAAAACTAAATATTCAGATTGATTGTTAATTTAATCAAAAGTCAATTGCCTCAAGTTGGACATGGGCATTATATTTCTCTTTTTACGCAATATCTCATTACAGAAAGTTGTTTTATTGTTAAGTTAGACAACAAGCTTTAAGAAAATTGACAATATTTGGAAAATACTATAATAGCCAAGACCGCATTTAAAACTCATTTAAGAAAAAATCATTAACATATATTGACTTGCCATCACAATATGTAATGTTAGTTTTGTCATTTTTAAAGGCGATGGATACAGTTTGCATTGTTTTCAGGCAATGAAAGGGACATTGGTAAATATTGTGAATTTGTAAACATGAATGCAGGTTGGGTGCAGTAAACTATATCTTAATATCTTTTGAAGTTAGCATTTATGTTTAAGTTTAAAAAGTTCACTCGGTTGATGCAATGTTACGATTTAAAACTGTTCAGCTTTTAGGGGAAAATATGTGTAAGTGGTCAGATAGCTCAGTAGGTAGGGCCGCGGAACTGTGCTCCAAGGGTTCCAGGTTCACATTTTCTCTTCCTTTGCAGATCTATACTATCTCTACGTTCTTGACTTATAGGTTTGTAAGGCCAAGCAATTAAGGGTAAAATTGTCAATGGAAATCGTATAATCATTTCCTTTTATTAATTACATTTCTGTGTTTCACAGGGAGTCAAGATTATAGCCGAGAAGTATAATTTTATGATTGCGATTGCTTATTTGCTGCTGGTGTTGTTTCTTTTCTGTTTTAATGTAGTAATTTATATACTACGTTTTATAACTTGCAAATCAAGTTAGATCATGATATAATATAAATTTGTCATTTTTTGTAATAGAAAAAGGATATTTAATATGAAAAGTACAAAATAATGATATGATAACTTAGCAAGAGCTTATTTGTCTATTTATTTTTAGGGGACTCTAAAATTATCCATTTGTCTGGGGATGAGCCGATTACAAAAGCTATGAAGTTAATACATATTTTCTCAATCTCCGGGGTACCTTTCTCTAAAGGATGGGTAAAACTTGACGATTTCTGGAAGGTTGCATTTGATAGCAGAGCAGACAAAAACAATAAAAAAGATCAATTGTTAACGTATGTATTTCATGCGGTTTACTTGTTTTAAAACTTTTTTTCCAGAAGTTCCACTAACAATATCTAGTAACAGTACGTATATGATATAGGAAAAACCTTGCAAATTCTCATTTCAACAAAAAGCCATGTTGCAGTTATTATACCGCTTGGTCCTCTTCAAAAGCAAAACTGCGAAAGATATTGTATCAATCCAATAAAGATGCTTTATTTTGCATGCATATTGTAGGTTGTTTTAATTTAAGAAAACGAAAACAACAGAAAAATGTTGTATTATTCGGCATATGAAACAAATATATCAAAAGAGTTGCTTGTATTCTAGTAGATTCAAAGGTATGCTGTATTTTAGAATAATTATGAAATTAAACATTAATTACACATAATTGCACTAATTGCATGTAATTCATAAATTAACACCAACTTTCAAACATACCTCTTATTTCTAATTGTGTAGACCAAAGCCGGTTGGAGAGATTGTAAATACAGCCAAGGGAATGCTCGGGAAGATAGGTTACAATATTCTTTGGAACAATTGTGAACACTTTGCGAGCAAATGTAGATATGGAACTAAGAGAAGTGATCAGGTTTATAAATTTTTAAATAACATTCTCGCACAATTGTTGTTTTAAGGTTATAAAAACACCCGCATCTTTATGTTTCTTTTCCTTTAATTGCATTTATAAATCATTTTGTTTTTCTAATAAGTTTTCTATATTATCAAAATATATCTGTCCGATACGTGTGAACAGTTTCAAATTAAGTTCAACGTTTGTATGTCCTAATGGAAAATGAACTACTTTTTCATTCAGTCTTACATTATGTGAGTTTTTGTTTATACGACACTAATGTCAGTCTTATATTCTGATATCTTACACTGTAGGTAATTTTTGGTGTATGGTGTACCATTGGGATATTTGCATTTGCTGTCCTTGCAAAAATACTTCAAGATATGTACAATCATAGCTGAACAGAATATAGGATGGAACTGAAATTATAACTGGAAGAATATCGCCTACGGAAGAATTAACGTTTGTGTTGTTTGTTTTTTGTTCAAAATCTTTTGTTTTTAGATATTTGGTGTTGGGCTGTTTTCACTATATTGGAAACATATTGTTAATAACGTTTTTATTTTGCTTTACAGTAAGCTTCAGAGATTTTATTTTTATTCTAGATGCATTTTTGTTGGTATGAATTAAGCTTCAGATACATTTATTTGTAATAAAAACACATCACATTCAAATTATCATTCCAACCTTTGCAATAAAGACAAAGTTTATTATTAATTATTGCAGTTTCTTTTAAAGAAGATGATTTCTTTTGACGAATGCATAGAATCTAATACATTCTGAATTTCTTAATAAGAAAATTCTAAGATATTTAAACTTCCCATAAAAATATCATCTTTGTGAACACATTTGCCATATTCCCTTTACAATTTTCTTTTCAAATTGTGACAAATTCATTCTTATCTGGTTTTAGCTCAATCAAACCGAGCCTGCAACATTTTCTATTTGCCGTGTAAGGCTTTCTTTATGGCCTCTTATTTTCTTTATTTTAGGGTTTGGTTCTAAGGTGTTTGTGTAATATTGGTAGAGTTTTGAACGACTCATTTGCGTGTGCTTTATTATCTGTATACTTTTTCCCTTTTAATGTTTCATGAAGCAATATATAGAAAGATTGAAGGTTAATTTACGCCCATGAGTCCACCTTACTTTCATTAGCTTATTTTATTGTCATTTTGAGGAAACATGATCGTGTCGAATGTTCAGTTAGAACATACAATCCCTGATTTGAAATGATCTTAACCATTAGGTCATTCTGACAGGGAACTTAAGACACATAACATTTGTTTACAATTCATGTGGATTTTGAAATAAAATTCTTCTTCTTCTTTGAATATTAACCCTTAAAATGTAAAGGAATAAAGGGGCTTGTAACAGACATTTTTACCGAAGTCCTTTCAAACAAGACTGAATAGAAGATTGAATATGAATTTGCTCCAGGCCTGTAAAATATTATAATTTAATAGATGTTAATATAGCTTCATTAACAAGTACATGAGACATTCACTAGCATCTACAGAGGCTCTTACAGGAACAATGCATATTTTGACTTTTGTTTGACATGTAACATATACTTTAGTAACTCAATGAATATCTTCAGTCTGTTTGATAACATAATTATATTACTTAGATGTACACCGTCGAAGGGCATCTAGCTTTTTATTTCTTTGGCTTTTCCACCCAGACATCATGGTTTTCAGTTATACTTTGGCCAAGGCCATGTTTCCTCATATGATACGAGTGTTGTTTGATCAGGACAGAAGACTATTCAATAATCCAATAAAGCAGGTCAATCGTTACATGTACGTATGGAAACTATTTTTTAAGATAAACAAGCTACTCAGTAGAAGTATCTTGCAATAATATGTGAAATAAATGTATCTGAAAACTCAATCTACTTATTAACAAATAAATTATCCCGCTGGCGGTCGCACGTTAAATGCGTTCCATCCCCCCCCCACAGAGTGCCTCAAATTTTACCAATTGTCACGTGACATCTGAGACAGATACCAGACCGACAGTACGTTAAGACTTGAAGAAATTTCTGCTATAAAATGATATTAATCAACAGATTTTTAACTGGTCAGATGTCACCGGGTCAAAAACAGTTGTTAGAGTATGTGGCCGCAATTTGTGACCACCTTTGGTGCGATATTTGCGTGTTATGCGAAACGCAGGGGGTTGAGAGATAACAGCCGATTTACGACACTTCGTGTGATGCGGGTCGGACTAATTTTGAATTGGCATAACGTTTTTTTTATAATCAAGCAATTTACATGCGGTTTAAAGCACATGAAAAGGAATTCATTTACGGAGTAAACCGTGTCAGGGATTTCCGTTAGCTCAATCAGTGCCTTAATTATCTTAAATTTCGTAATATGTATGGTGAAAAAAGTCGCATAAAATGTTTGACGTTACGTAATATTTTTTTTTTTGAGAAAAAGATAGAAATGATCTGAGACACGGTTCCCTAGATATTATAATTATGTTTATTCTGCAAAAGTTTGATTACAAAAAGTGAAAAATGACTTTGATAGGACGATTTAAAATAATAGGATTTTTGTCCAAAATTTATTATTTTACAAAGGCATTTTTTTTCAAATATGTTATTTTTTATGAAGATCAAATACATTTAATGCACAAGATTTAAATAAATAACAATTATTACTAAAATGTGTTGGTTAAAATGACATTAATGGTAGTACCACGGAAAGTGTCTGTTGTCACCTTAATGAATGTACAGATGTTTAATTTAAAATAACCCGTGGCTAAGGAGATACAAAAAAGAAAGACAAATCATTGTCTTTGGGCTGTTTATTTTCATCGCAGTTATCATTCTTGTATATGTAGAAAGTAATATTATACCTTATGTGTGGTTATGTTAATCAATACATTCATACACTCATGTTTGATAATATAATGCTCTTTTATTCACTTATTCGTAAATAATTACCGCTTATGTATTGATCACGAATAGTATATTGTTTATGCATCATTTATTTTGTAAATAACGAATTAATATAAAAACATGTACAATATTATGTGTATCGTGGACCGGAGGCCTTTAACTACAATAAAACGTATGTTATGTTATCACGGTGCATATCCATTGCGAAATCTAATCAAACGGTACCCTCTCTGCACATGCACAGGTCATTCTCTGCTAAAAACAAACCAGCGATGGATAACAATCCAGCCAATGTTCCTTCAACTGACACAAGGAGATATGTCATGTGGAAAACATGTATACCAAGGAACACTAGAATGTATTATCTTCGAGTGGTTATTGCAGTGTGTCCATTTTCAATTGTTGCAACCTCACAATAAGTTACATAAAATCGACATGTCTTGTCTCGCCCATCACCTCGACATTATTTTTGGGCTGAAATGAGCCAGTGGCTTGATTATATATGCATCGTACATATTACATATGTTCAGTTATACATAATCTTCGGGAAAATAGCAGTTGTTAGTAAAAAATAAATGTTAAATTAATAAAAACACCCTACCCCTACTGTCGGTTTTGCAGCGGTTTTGCTATTGATTCTTTTATCACTGGTACCCTTTTCATACACGGGTACCCGTCCTAGCAGAGTAAGTAAAGAAGCAAGAAACGCGAAAGATTGAATAAGACTTTACAATACAGGTAGTCGGAATTCGACCGCAATTATTCGTCAATGAATAAATACGATAAATAAATAAACAAATGAATAAATAAACAAAAGCAAATACATTATATAACATCTATCACTTACAATGCAGCACAGTACGAATCTTATTTTTTTCTAATGTCTGAGGTGAGTGAAAATAATACTAAATGTGATTTTATTTGTCATAATAGGAGCAACATGTAACTATGTAATGTTTTTAGTTCCATATAGAATACTAAATTACTATAATTGTACTGACTGACAAAAGCAACAGTTTGAAGCAAAATATTGATTAGGAAATAGGCCAATGAAACTACATGTAGAACAGGACACCAAACTCACCGTTCTATAACATATACATCACATGCTCACGTATATCAGAAAAGTATAAAATATATCTTATAACTACGATGCTTCCATGTGGGTCATCGTGGTTCGATTCGATGATTCAATAGCAGCAATACCTGTCGTGCAATATCGTTATTAGTGCTATAGATTTGTATTGCTGCATTTTGATTGATAGAAGCTCACATTGGTTCAAATCCTGAGTGGATCGAATTATTTTATGTTAGTAAGCTACACAGCAAGCTTGCAATCGGCAGACCCACTCATCTTCAAGAAATTTTGAACTCGGGAAAAACTGGCCTCAGGTCGACCTTAACGTAACGTGTAACCAACGCTTAAAAGCCTTTAACTCTTAAAGTTGTAGCACTTTGAAATCAGTTTTAATGGGATTAATAGTTTTAATAGTGATTTTTGGCAATTTTGAGATGTCCTCTCGTTGCCATGGTAACAGGAAATTTAAGATTGAATATGCGGTTACAAAGGCTATGGTCCATTCAACATGTTTACGTACACTGTTCATGTGTGCTAAATAACATGTTTTACTCATGTGTGTTAAATAACATAAACATTTATGTTACAATTTTTTGTAAATCGACAATATCATTATGGAATAATTTTACTGTTGATAAAGTTTATAAAATATTACATACGATATACCAGCTTTGTACCTTTTAAATGACACTCAGCGTATCTACGTAAAATAACAATGTTTCACTTAAGGTTAATATCCTTATTTTTAAAAGCGCAAAATCTGCAAGATTTAATGTGTGTCGAGATGATTCTAATTATGCAGATTTCTTGTAGACAAATATAATAAAACGTCACAATAATACTTTTGTTGCATTTTTACTCCAACAGAAGATATCTATATGCTTTATATAATATGAGGCGATAACAAATTGGCGCCATTACGTCTGGGTCAAACGATCATATTTCGGTAGAATTATAGACATGTACGCCACAGAAGTCTTTCCTGGCAATATTTCTTTGTCCAAGAGAAACCGATTTATTCAGCTATGTACGTGATATTTTGTATAATGACAGTATCAAGTTGTAACAGTTAGAACTTGTTTTGTACAAAATTATATTGTAGTGCCAACAAAGGTGTTAAATTGATATTCATTGACATTTCATGAAAGGCTCTAGACTGTTATGTTTTTTAAAATATCACTATTTATATGATTGTGTTATAACACAAATAGCTTATTATATATATTGATGTATTTATATCATTGTTTCATACGGGCATTATTTAAAAGTTGTATTAGTATAGGAGTTCCAGTCAAACTTTCATACCTACATGTGTACAGCAGGTACTGAGAGATAATTTTACTTATGTATAGAATATAAGTAATATTGTATCGAAAATGCGTTATACGATTTGAACATATGAGAGCAGTTAATAATGGCTATGTTACACACTTATATTATTTAATTCCTGAGATAAGATAAAAAAAGGCAAGCTGACTTTTAAAGAAAGCAGTCCCGACACAGCAAAGCCACTATAGCAGGGTACTCATAAGGCACCGAACAAAAAACGGGAAAGAACACAAGGGCGGTGAAACGAGGGGAGGGACATGTAAAAAGTGAAATGATAATAAACTGATGGGAAAGTTTCTTCCTATAAAAACCAAAGGTGAATTATTGTATACAATGATTTTTCCTTAACTTTAATGATTGTTCTAATCCAATGAATTAATTATAAATACGTTGGACAAAAAATAAGCTTTTTTGTTTATCTTACATTATTTATAAAATTGTTAATATGTCGCTTAAAAAATGTTATTCTCAAATATTCTATTTTATTTTTTGTTAATTTATAACAAATTTTACAGCAGAAGTAACTTCGACTAGTGTACATTGTTTCATTTAGATGTTACCACGTTAATGATTATTATTATATATTTTTATGATTGAATAGCTTATAATGTTTGCAAACTTTAATTAAAATAACAAGGATATAAACATTCTTTAAAACACGTAATACTCTCATTAATCAAATTTATCTTCTTTTCAATGACATTATCAATTACCAAAAATGACTTTCTGTGCCATCTGTCGTTTCACACGCAAATGCAAAATTTATCATCGTCTCACATGAAACTTGTTCAAACGCTATTGCAATAAACAATAACAAGTCATATAAACTCTGTATTGTATTCAGATAGAAAGTTTCTGTTATAGTAAAACCTAATAGATTCCGCCGTTACATTTTTTTGCTCTATGACCAAATTATGAAAGATGAGACAATAAGACGCACAGCGGGTACTAAAATAGGATATTATAGAACATAAACAAGAATATTTACATTAAGAAATACTTGTATTGGTACATTGATCAAACTACATAGTTGTTCTTGTTTTTAAAAGCTTGCAAAAATAATTAACCGGGATCTCTAGTATGGATATCATCTCTTGCCAAAACTCTTTGCCTATTTGATAGCATTGAACCTATGCATATAAATATCACACTGATGGCTTAAAGTGACATTATGCTCATACTTCCATTGTCAAGTTGAGTTGAATTGAAAAGCATTTCAAAAGATTGACTGCTTTTAATAGTGTTTGACCATCTGTAGACATTGAAAAATAATTTCATGTATGAATTTACAAAATTCCTTACGGCAAAATTACTTCATTCTGAGAACGCAATTTATTTATAAAAGGCGCGCGGGAATGATGTCATTTAAAGCTTGCGATTCGTCTTAATCATGAGTTTAAGATAAGTTTTTCTAACACCGAAGGAAACAGTAGATAAACCTTTGGCATAATTCTTAATTTCTTATTTATCCAAGACGTAATTTTAATAGTTGTTTTTCTTCTAAACAGTTTTAGCTTTAGTTCTGACATTTGAAATGAAACATGTTTGAAACTATAACAGTGTATTCCTTGAAGCGTT